TGTCATCGTCTCCTTTATTAATCAAATGACTTCCCTACTTGCTATTAGCCAGTTATTGGTTCAAGAAAAGCAAGAAATATGGCAGCCTCATTAGACCTTCTAATGAACTACTTTCTATAACCATATGAACCTATAGCCTCTCAAACAGGCCCCAAAGATTTGGGCAGTAGAAAAAGCTAAGTGGGCCCCTTGCAGAAACTGAACAGCTAGTTGCTACTTAAGTGGAACATGTCAGAAGATTGAGTCCACTGTCAACTCTCCGTGCAACCTCTTTATGTTTCTCTCCACCCTTCATGACACAAGTGAACATTTATTAGGAACTTACTGTGCCAGTTATTGTGCTAAGCACTTTACATCATTTAATCTTCACATTTAATCTTCACAATCCTCACAAGCTTCTGAGGTAAGTATCGTTACCATCTCACTTCTAAGCTCCCTGTCGAAAACTGCTTTTTCCCCAGTGCCCAGCTTTATTCCAGGCATGTAGTAGGTGCCAAATCTGTTGAATAAATTAACGAATCCCTATTTCACAGATACAGTAAGGGATCAAGAGGCTAAGTAACTTGTTAAAGTCAGATAGCTAATAAGGAGTTGAACTGGTATTGGAACCCAGATCTTGGCTCCAAAGCACGCACTTCAACTACTATTCTGTGACATCTATTGTCCCCTCTCAGGGCTTCAACTTTCAGGGCTTTGGCCTATGTTATCTCTACCCTCTTTGGCCAATCCAGCATAAAGTTTCAGCTGTATTATGTTAAGACTCTTGTGTACAAGTAATAGAAATCTGATGTGAACAAGCTTAAGCAAAAAGAGGAATTTATTATAAAGATGGTAGTGTCTCACAAAACCCAGGGATAATGGAGATGGGCCTTAGGAACAAATACATCAGATGCTTGAATGCAGCCAGGATTTTTCATCTCTCCTCCAGCTCAATCCCAAATTCTCTATGAAGGTACATGAAGGATGGCTCCTGCTGCAGCCCTGAGGATAAGGCAGAGAAGGTGGTAGAAAAGGGGTGCTGAGAAGACAAAACAACAGATGTTTACTTAAACTTCTCTTCTTCATGGTCCATCAACACATATGCCATCTTCCCCATATCTACAATTCCCAAATGCCCATACCTAACATAATCCACGGACAACTGCAAGTCAGATGCAACTTCTGCATCCAGAAGCAATAGCATGGCATAGACCTGCCCCTTCCTCATCTACTTCAGCGACAAGCTAAACGTAACTCCTCTTGATCCTGCAACCTTTAATAAACTTAACTAATAACAATAAATCTAACATGAGAAATAGAGAAACAGATTAACCACAATCAAAATTCCCCTTTAGGAAAGAAGGGCACACCATTATCAGCCACCAGGACCAAGTATGCACCGAAGTGCACCTGGATAGGAATAAAGGAATAAATTACAGGCATAGAAAAATTTATGGGAGTCAATTTACCTTCTCACTTAACCAGTCTGTACTTGGGCCTAGGGCATACTCTAGAAGAGCAGCGATTCTCAAACTTGAGAGTGAATTAGAGTCACCTGGAGTGAGACCGGCAAAAACTTTCCTGACATGAACTCTCCCTTCAAACACCTGCACCAAGAGACTTGACCAAACTTTAGTATGGCTTCTAGCAGCCTAAGGCTAGTCTCTGAGATGACCCATTTCCCATCTGGAAAGCTTAGGGCTATCAAAAGAATTTATAGTTTGTTCTAGCCAACACTTAAAGATAGGCCCCTGACCTCCCTTTTAGAGCCTTGTGAGTTCTTCCCCTGTCCCCTTGAGATATATATGTATCTCCTACAACTCAGATATTTCTTAAGTACCTGAGAGCCACTCCTTTGAAATGTAATCATCAGGAAGGCTAGGGCCTTTACCTCCCCCCCAGTCTGTAGGAGGATAGCATCCTAAGTTCAACAACTGCCAGCTAGCAGACCGAGCTGGCCTACTCCCTTTTACACTATCACCCACTTTTTGTAATTTTTCACTTCCTTCACTCTACTTGAGTCCTTGTGCCCTCCTTCTCTTTCTTCCCTCATCCTCTCTTTAAAACACCTAGTCACCTCTGTGCAAGTGGGAACAGAGCTCAGTTTTTTTCCCCTACTGGCAGTAGTTACTGAATAAAATGTTTTCACTGCTTTAACTAATGTCGAGTTTTGTTTATCTTTGACATTACTTAAAATGAGTATTGCTGGCCCCACTCACGGTTTCTGATTCTGGAGGTCTGAGGTGAGGCCTGAGAATTTCTAACAGTTTGTAGGTGATGCTGATGCGCCAGTCCAGGGACCAAACTTTGAAAATCGCTGTTCTGACTCTGGTCCCTATTCACTAGATACGATTTTCTCGTGATAAAACTTCCTCAGAGCCTAATTTGACTGCCTGTGGATTTCATTTGAGGGGACTCTGAATGCTAATCAGTCCAAGAATCTTGTCAAATTATGCTCTTTGAATCTTCAGATCTACTAAAGGGAATAATCTGGCTCATCCTGTTGCAGTTTCTATTTCTTAGCACTCTACCTAACGACTTGGCTCATTCTCCCTAGCATTCCACTCAAGATCTTCAGTTCAGAGCTTAGGTAGGAAATAATAGGCTGTGTTCAAGGCTGTAAAGCCTCTCTTTTCTGATCTGCTCTGGGAATGTTATGCCTACCCTCTCTTTGATTCCAGCTAAATCCATTTACAGAAGGAGACCTCATCACATTTGGGGGATTTGGAGAACAAGGAATCTATAGAGGCTTACACAGATAACCTCATTCCAATTACCTAAGTGCCAATTTCCTAACCACTTGAACCACTGAAACATTTGACATGAGACAGAGTTCTACCACTGTTAATTCAGCAAAGCCCATGCTCTGTTTTGAGCCCCGAGAGCAGTAAGCAACTGCTTTGCTGCCAGATAACACAGAATGCCAACTTCCATTAACTGATGTGGGATATCTCCAATCTCTGCCAATTTCGTATTTTAGGGTCTGTAAATTGCCATACTCTATTTCTCATATCAGGTCTTGAACTTTGTTTTTGGTCATAAGTAGTTTCTAACTACTTTGTAAAAGTAGTAATAATAAGTATATGGGGTTGCCTCACAGAAACCAAGGACTAGAAATGTTTCAGGAATGATAACCTGGAACTTAAACACAGTGAAGACTATGTCTCATCTCTGTGCTGAGAATCTGAATTTTTCTTCTCTTTCTGTAGATCAGTATCTTATACCTCTGTCCCTGTGGTGGGAAAATTGCTGACAGCTTCCAAGTTTTATGCTTAGGAAAAACTGATCTCTGTGGTTCAATTCCAGCTTTCTAGGGAATGAGAGTCTGATGGACCCAGCTTGGATTATTTGTCCACCTGTGACCCACTGAGCTACAGTTATAAGAACATGACAGTTTTTGCTGTAACTCTGTCAATGGGAGGAGAGTCATTTCCCAGAAAAGGAAGGCTAGGCAGACAATCCAACAGGTGTTCACTGTACTAGAAAACCTCTAATCTTTCCATCTTTCATCCATTCAAGCTACTGTTCTCTACTTTCACTGGTCATTTTCAAGAGTTCCCTATATGCACTCCTTCACCATTTATTTATTCTTTGCAAATCTGTCTTGTTCTATCTCCACTATTCTTTTATGATAAATTCCTTTATGGAGCTTGAAGCTTTTACAGATTTTGCATCCTAATAGACTGTTCTCCAACTTCATTCGTCTTTACTACTCTTGGGCTCTGCACTTTTGTATTCTAACTCTGCCTGCCATGATCTCCCATCTCTCATGTTCCAAGCCAGATCTGGCTACTATTACAAAACATGTTTTCTGCCCTCCTCCTGCTAAGAGTGGGCCCTAGAGGCCAGCCAGAAGACTGGTGCTACATCAAAAATCAACTGAAAATCTATTTTTTTCAAAAGATTATGATTCTGTCCGTCCGGAATTGTAGCCCTTGCAGTTATTTTGCAAAAGCTTCCCGACAGATTGATTCACAATGAGGTTTAGAAACAAAGGTCCTAACTATACAACACTGTAGCTCAGTGAGTACTGGAAAGATACAACTTGAAGTTTAATTTGTATTGGTACTTATTTCCCACACCAAAGAGATTTTGAAGAAAAGGGATACTCAATTTCATTTTGTTTCTGCACTGCGTCCGGCAAATAATGTCAATTTCACCACTCATAAATTGGGGCCAACAATGCTTTGAAGAATTATGGTAGTTAAAAGTTAAGTGGATTACTACAGAAATGTCGGTTATCGCTTTTAAATTTCATGTGTCCCATCTCATTCATTAAAAGCTACGCATATTATTCCCCCACCACGCCCCAGCAAAAAAAAAAAATTCTCCCTCCTGGAGAATTTTAACATACTTCAGCTGAATTCAATTAATCCATTCTACTTCCTTTCCCATGATGCATCACTTCTCCCCAAACTCCTTTTCCTGGAAAAGGCGGTAAATAGCCTGAAGCAACTAGGCGGACGCCAGGAGTTGTAGTGCAAATCCTAAACACATATCACACCCCACCACTTCAGATCCTGTGAGCTCAAGGGCAGAAAGGGGTGGTAAATCTTGTTCCTAGACTGCATCCTGAGGCCGTAGAGAAGACTACAACTCCCAGGATGCCCCTCTGCCCCGCCCCGCCCTGCTCCCCCTCCCCCGTCTAGAAAGCGAGTACCATAGAGAAGACGAGGCAACATGGCTCCCGGCGGTGGAAGGGAGAGCCTTCACCCCTTTTGAAGCGGTGTAGCGCGGCCGGCGGGGGGGGGGGGGGGGGGGGGGGGGGGGGGGGGGGGGGGAGTGACTAGAGTCCATCATCGCTTTTATCCTCTCAGCCTTTCCTAAATCCGGCCGGCCTCACTCCTCCTCCACACCCAAATCCAATCTGTTGGTCTCCTCCCCACCCCGCCCTCATCCCCTCGCCCGCTCACCCCTCCCCTCGGGAATCCTTTTCCCGCCCCCTCGCCCCCCGCGGAGTGCGCACGCGTCCGTCCCCAGCTTCGCGCCCAGATCGCCACCTAACCTGCTCGCGCAGCCGCCGTCTCGTCTGCCCACCGACGAAGCATGGGCGTCCAGGGCTTCCAAGAGTTCCTGGAGAAGCGCTGTCCCGGGGCCGTGGTGCCCGTGGACCTCCTCAAACTCGCGCGCACGGTCTCGCGCCAGCAGCAACAGCACCAGCATCGCCAGCTGCCTCCTCCGGCAGCTCTAGCTCCCGGGGCTCCACGCACCGCCAGGGGCTCTGCGCCTCTGCAACCGCCACTCCCGCCCGCTGCCTTGGGTGCCTACTCCGGGGGCGCGGGGCCGACTCGGCACCATCACCCCGCTCACCACTTCCACCACCACGGCCAGGCGCACCCTGGGCTGCACCCGCCGCCCCCTCCGCTGCCCGGGGCCCGGGTGCTTGTGGACGCGGGCTCGGCGCTTCCGCGGCTTTATGGTGGCTACCAGACGGATTGGGTGTGTGGTGGCCAATGGAACGCCATGCTGGGCTACTTGTCAGCGCTATGCCAGGCTTGTGCCTATCCCGGCGGCGACGGCCTGGAGCTGGTGGTCATGTTTCCCGGGGGCCTGGGAAAGGACCGGCTGGCCGAGTGGGGCCGTCGGTGCCAGGCCGAGCGGCAGACAGCGCAACTGATCGTGGGACACGTGGGCAACAAGGGCACCCCTCCTCCACGGGCCTGGTTCCTGCCACCGGCCTGCCTGAGCCACTGCGTGAGGCTAGCACTCATCCGCTTCCGGGTCAAGGTGAGGGAGGGGCCGGATCTTAAATAATGTGCCCCACACCTATACCCTCCCAGCTAAACACCTAACCACCCACTAACCTGCCACCCATCTACCCACTCACCGCCTAATCAGCTAACCTACTTGCCTAATTATCCACTGTCATTTTATCCATCCACCTTCCCCTTCATACCACCCCCTACCGATTCGCTGACCAACAGAAGTACATCTCTACCTGTGTCACCCCAATAACTCTCTTTACTTTCACTTATCCAGTGACCCGTCTCTGGGTTTTAGTCGAATTTCTTTTGTAGCCCCATCTTTCTCCTACTGTCTTCTGCCTCAAGCTGAAATGCCCTTTCCAGTTGGCATCTCTCTTCCGTATGTCTCTTTTCCAACCTTGCACCAAATCAGTTAAACAAATGTTACATGAATACCTTTCGTCTACAACTTCCCCCCATTTGACCCATTGAGATTTTTTTTTACCCATGTGTCCATTCAGTCTTTTTCATTTGCATATGCTTCTGTTTCCTCCTGCTTTAGCCTAAACAAAAAATTTAAAAACCCACTGACTCAGTCACTGTTCAACAATTATTAGACCACTGAGAGTAAGGGGTTTAAGGGACATGTGAGACATGGGGGTCCTACCCTTGGAAAATCAAATATGTAAGCATGGAAGATTTATTTAATGGTATAAGTGTGTATGTGATTATGCTTCATGGTACAGATTGTAAGTACAGTATCTGTTGTGTGTGTGTTGGGGGATATCTGTGGGCTACTATTGTAAGGGGAGGCTTCCTCAAAAAAGTTGGATCTCATTTAGTTCTTCAGGGATGGGTTGGATTTGAATGGGTTATGGGTTTGGGAGGAGGCTGCTTTAAGTAGGAGAAAGAATGAGGAGCAAAAGGAATATCAAGCATGTTAGGCCCCATGGGCAGTTAAGTCCAATCTCTGCATGTAGTTGGTTACTGTTTATGGGGCCTGGGGAACAGCTTGGCAGCCTCCCCAGTTCTTGGCACCACTCCTGCTGCTCTGATACTTTCCCATACTCTTAGGTTTCAAGTTCTTACGTGTAGGGAATAGCAAGGTTTGGGAAGTAAAGGAGGTGGGCAGGAAGAAGAAAAAGTACAGGGTTGGGTAGGACAAAATCTCAAACCCTATTCCCATCCGAGGCTCTTGGGTATGTGCTCACAGTTAAAAGGACAGTGAATTTTGAGAATGATAAAGAAATGGTCCTGGGTGGAGGAATGAGGAGGAAAAAAAAATCTCATTGAGAGACTGAAAGCTTGCAGTGGTCATAGAGTTTGTGGCCATAGTTCAGTCATGCTAGAACACCTTGTGCACATCAAATCTGTGCCTGGACTGGATAGATTATAGCTGTTTTTAATAATAAGAAAATCCAGTCATGAGCTATCTTAAACATATATAGTAGAAAAAAATAATAGACATTCATTTGCTTGCCTTCCTGACCATATTTCAGTAAATTCTTCATTCATGATGATTCTTTCCACTTTGTTTTCATTGCTGCCACCCAAGCTTTAAGGACTTTTTACCTCATTGTCATTAACCTGGTTGCTGGCAACAATGACTAATGGAATGCTTAGTAGGTGTCAGGTGCTAATCTATGTGCTTTAACAACAAAATTATTTTATTTGATCCTCAACAATAACCTGTGAAGCAGTATCATCCCTGTTTTCCAAATGAGGAAACTGAGGCACAGGAGGTTTAGAAACTTGCCCAAAGTCACCCAGCTATTAATGGCAGAGCTGAGGTTCTGGGATCCATGCCCAGGCAGTCTGGCTCCAGAGCCCATGCTCTTAACAACGGTGCTCTAAGATGAATCTTTCTAGAGTGCCAATGTGATTAGATCATTCCCATACTCAAAATGTTCCCTGGCTCCTTGGTAAAGACAGGTCTGGGTCATTCGTTTATGTTCATTTATTGAGTGTTTGCTGTAGGCTAGGTACTATGCCTGTTGCTGAGGATTCAGAGGTAAAAAAAAAAAAAAGGAAATCCCTGTACTTAAGGAGGTCAGTTTAGTGAAAGACAAAACCGAGTTGCAGATACTGTTAGCTAATTGCAAATGGTGAAAAATATGGCCCCTACAGGGGGCATAGTTAATTCTGGGTGAGGGTTTGAAAGTTGGGGGAGGCTTCACAGATTGGTGCTGAGCCTTGGAGAGGGCTGGAAAGGATAAGCAAGGTGGTGGACAAGGGTGTGGAAACCTAAAATGGCTAGCCATGAGATCTGAATGGATTTGGATTAGAGGTTGGCAGGAGAATTAAACACGGAGTATGGATTTGTGGTTTCCAAACTTTTTTTGTTCATGCACCCCCAGCAGTCAAAAGTTTTGAGAAGCAAACTTAATATGGCTTACCAAAATTCTCCATCACACATAGTCTCATTTTTAAAATCCCAGCAGATGGGGCGCCTGGGTGGCGCAGTCGGTTAAGCGTCCGACTTCAGCCAGGTCACGATCTCGCGGTTCGTGAGTTCGAGCCCCGCGTCAGGCTCTGGGCTGATGGCTCGGAGCCTGGAGCCTGTTTCCGATTCTGTGTCTCCCTCTCTCTCTGCCCCTCCCCCGTTCATGCTCTGTCTCTCTCTGTCCCAAAAATAAATAAAAAACGTTGAAAAAAAAATTAAAAAAAAATAAAATCCCAGCAGTTTATCACAATAAGATGGATTGATATGTGATAAAGCAAGTGTGGAGAAAATGGTAGAATCTCAGCGGTGGGTATTTACTCACTGTAAAATTTCAACTTTGCCAAATGTTTGAAGTTTTTCATAATAAAATATTGGGGAAAAAATTCCCAGCAGTCCTCTTCAGTCCTGAGAACTACCATTTGGGGAATATATAAATCTTATTCCCTATGCTACATTGTAAACACTCTTTGATCTTTTCATATTCTCCATTAATATCTTGTATATTTTGGGTTTAGGACACATTTTTTTCCTGAATGAATAGGTAGGTCAGTAACTCTAAGAGAGTGGATTGTATGAGTAACCTAAAAAGTGTGTAGTGTGGCTCTTAATATAGTGAATTTAAGACTGACTGCAAAATCGCATACGTAAAGAAATTATTTATTTTCGTTACCAGTGAACGAAGTTCTCTTTCCTGATTTTGGTTGGTGATCTTTGTTGTTGGAGTGATGGAGAGCTTCCTGGTTTATAGTACACACTTAAAAGATACTGGTTAATAGCTGAGGTAAACAGCTGTGATTTGCTTTTATAGAGGAGTGTTCCACTATTTTGAAGATAGCAGATTTTCACTCGGATGATCTGCATGCTTACCACTTCTTTTGACTGAAATGCTAGTGCTTCAGAACAAAACCCACTACTGTATTTCTCTTCTTGATTTTGTTCTTCAGACTAAGCTACAAAATGAGTCTTTATTCCTAATCTTATTTCCGTTTGTGCAGGTATTAAATAAAAGATAAATTGCTGGGTTGTCTGGTTAACGCTAGGTAACTTAAGACTGCCCATGAAAAGATTATTGGCATGAATTTTGTCATTTGGTTGGTTTCATTGCTATGTCCTGCAAACCTTTGTAAGTGTAATCGTCAATAGCATTAAAATGAAGTAAACTGACCAATTGCTAGCCTGGGTCTCAAAAGTAGAGCAGCCAAAAGCAGTTTTAGAATGTGGTTTGGGAAATGATGTGGGGTGGTTATGGGGATGAATACTTTAACGGTTAAAAAAAGATAACACATAAAATCCACCACTTCACAGCTATAATTCTTTAGAATGGGACCAATTAAAGAAAAATGAGTTGATTTAAAGAAAAGTATTAAGTTACAATACTTGGATGTGGCAGATATCATGTTGGTAGTACATGAGCGATCAAAGTTTTGAAAAGTCTGACCAAGAGCTGATACCATTTTATGCTTTCATTCTCTAAAATGCAGTATAGGGGCGCCTGGGTGGCGCAGTCGGTTAAGCGTCCGACTTCAGCCAGGTCACGATCTCGCGGTCCGTGAGTTCGAGCCCCGCGTCGGGCTCTGGGCTGATGGCTCGGAGCCTGGAGCCTGTTTCCGATTCTGTGTCTCCCTCTCTCTCTGCCCCTCCCCCGTTCATGCTCTGTCTCTCTCTGTCCCCAAAATAAATAAACGTTGAAAAAAAAATTAAAAAAAATAAAATAAAATGCAGTATAGCAATGACTGCTATGCTTCCGGGTTATTTACTTATACCCTCAGTGCCACTCCTAGGTGCTCTAGTGGTAGGAAAAATTATTATAATAATTATTATTACTTCCTGAGCACCAAGTTGTACATAAAGTGCTTTTCAAATACCTCATTTATTCCTCACAAGCTTGCAAGAATGCCCAGTATTCTTCCTATTTCTTTGGTCTGGACACTATTAGGTGCTGGATAAAAATCCCTGTTCTGGGTCTGTATTGCTCAAAGTCCCTTTCCACAGTTCCACTACACTATTTCCTTCTGTTTAAAAAGAATTTTTTTTAATGTGTATTTTTGAGAGAGAGAGAGCAAGCGAGAGTGAGCAAGGGAGGGGCAGAGAAAGAGGGAGACACAGAATCTGA